AGTTTATTTTCTCGAGCTCTGAGCTTTGGAAGGCATGAAATAAAATTTGAAATTGGAAAAGTTTGAATGTCGATTGAATTCAAAACTCGTGAAAAGGTGTAACAATAAGTCGGAGACTTTTGTAAAGATTTACGCCTGCTTTAATTTGCATATACGAAATTTTAAGTATTATGTACCTAAATTGTACATAATTGTTACATACATAGTTCACAAGGTAATCACTTCAATTCATTCATTCATTACCTCCCAGCATGAGTGTCAAATTATTAATTCTTTAAAATATATTCCAGAATCGATTGTGTATTGATACAAAGGGGTTGTGCTGTATTCATCCTATGACGTCTCATCCTATTTCTTCACTCATCCGTAATTCTGTATTCCTAACTCAAGATCTCTTGACCGCTCTAAACCTAATAAGAAAATTAGCAATTTTTATTTAATAAAATAGAGGAACATGGGACTGTGAGCTACTCAACTACTGAGATCGTCGTCTCCGCCTGTTAGATGCCTCTTAACAAGGCTCAGTAACTCAAGATATTTCGGTAACAGACGTCCACAGTAAATGATCTATATCACAAACTGGTTTCAATACAAGCTGACGGACAATCGTACAACGTGGATTATCGTCCAACGAAATACGAAACGTACTAATTGGTCACGTGGAAATAATTTTTATTTTTTAAATTTCTCAACATTTCATTTTTAAAAATAAGATGACTACTTTTTATATTGTCAAAAACCAGTAATAAGAACCTATGAGTTTCAGAATGTGAGTATAAAAATAAAAAAGACATTGCCCACAATTTAAATTACTTAAAATATTTTAATTGAATATGAAGATTAGCGAGTACCTAAGTTTTGTAATAAAGAAACAATTCAAATTATGGACACGCAACAAAGAGAATAAACACAAAACCAAATATTGTTTGCAGAAATATTATTTTAACTACTAGTTATGGAATAGAATTGAAAAAAAAAGCGACAATATGTTCTAAATGAATACGCATAGAGTATGTTTTTTTCTAACAACCTGATAAGTTTGGCTTAAAAGGAAGTAATGCTATCGAGCATGTGCTTATTATAAATAACTTAACGACTCGACTCAAGAACATGTCGTTGTAGGGCGACCTCACTTATATTGTTTTCGGGATAAGTATAAAATATTGCTTTAAGAAATTTCATAAAATTATGTCGCAAATATTGACACTAGTGGTCCGCCCCGGCTTCATGCGGGTTTTTCATATGGATCCTTAACGTTTTTGACAATCTATCAGCAATGGTTATCAGAATTCATATAGAAAATAATGTAATAATAATTTTCCAAATGGGTTCAGTAATTTCAGAGCTTATTAAAACAAACAAATATAATCAATTATATAAAAAATCGTTCGAACGATATCTCTAATATAATAAATAAATTTCTATTATAACATTTATAGGACCGTAATAAAATATTTATTAAAATAAAAACTTTTTATTCAAACTTTTTCATCATAATGGTAATATGAAATAAAGACCCTCACAGATGAAACACGACTCGCACTTGCCATAACCGCAGCGTAACACAAAGTGTGGTTGCCCAGGAAAAGAATGCCGCAGCCTCCGGCAGGGACGCCAAATTATATCACACGGGTAGAGATAGACAAATCGCGTGATGCCAGAGCGATTATAGCAATTTGGTTGTGAGCCACGGACGGACGGTTTTACTTCTCGTTATTATATTTAGGCGGTTAACTAACCTTATCTTTTGAACACAAAACGCAATTTATAATTCCCATAAAATAAATCAACTATAAAGATGGTTGTAAATGTAATATTATAAACCAAAAACACTCATATCTAAAGTATGTTTGATATTGTTTAAAATCCTATTTTTATAAATTTAATACTTTTCTATTGGTTGTTCCAACTCTGTCACATGTACATTTTCCGTAGTTGTTGAGTATATTGATAAGAAACAAATTATATCTACTACTCCCCCTCGTTATTTTTTTGTGTATATTTTTAAAAGAATGCGCCATGTTTAGAGATTTATACCGCTGTAGTGTGTTAACTCTCATTTTTCTGTTTTTATCAGCATCAGTTGGATATTAGACTTACTCAAGGAGTAACTCGTTCCGACATAGAATAAGAGGTACCTTTTGAAACGAATTGATAGGGAGTCTTTTTTTGTCTGCGTCTGTACGTAGTTACGTGATGACGCAATACCTAAACTCAACCGTAATGGTCGGTGTCAATCAAAATTACACACTTACAAATTTGTTAGTGCGCTCGGCCAAAACACATTAGCTCATTATTAACTTTATAACGTTTACAATACGGCTTTCATTAAAACGTACACATCAGGATAATGATAAATCATTTTAGTGAACACGTTCTTAGAATCGGCGAGGATCAAGACCTGTCGAGTTGCCTACAAATTATTCGGTCGGTTGAATGTCTGCTTCCAAATTTGAATTTTTCTTTTAGTGTTTTTCTTAAAAATGTAACAATTGATTATAGTTATGGGATTCTAGGTACTGTTATACCTCTCAATCTTATGCACATATATAAAACCTAAGTTACATTACTACTATATATTAGTACAATATTGTAATGCGAAAATAAATTATATCTCTCAGTGATAGTATTGCGGTTAATTAGGAAGAATATAAGCTGCTTCCTTTCAAAGTATCAAAAATACATATAAATTATATAATAAATGTATGCTAAAATTGACGTACGCCTTAGACTAAGTCATACTATTGCATGTATCAAAAATAAGTAGAATGTACCCAAAAAAAAAAACATTTCAATGAAATCTTTAGATTGATTTAAATATGTAAGTAGAAATTTTTGGAGAACAAACAATTAGTTTTGTTAGGTACCTACGTTGTGTCAGATACTCCATAATACGGGGGTACCAGCTACACATTTTGGAATCAGAGCAATGTATGTGATGTTGTTTAATATTTATTTATTTATAGGTGTAGTGACGCACTCGGTATATGATTGTGGAAACAAGGTAATTTTCACTAATGCTGGTCATCGGATGAGATCGAAAATTAGTTAAAAACTTTTTAATGGTCCCGCACTTACCAAAGTTGTGGGCTAAGCTCACACCATATGATTATTATTTATAGAATTCCTCCAATGGTTTCGCCCGCGTGCGCCTGTATTATACATAAAAGCCTGTCTTTTGAATCATCCTATCTATTAAAAAATCAAAATCCTGTGCGTAATTTTAAAGATCTAACCCTACAGAGGGACAGACAGACGGAAAGCGATTTTTTAAATAATGTATTGATTATCATCTTCATCATTATAGGTATAACATACGATACAAAAATAATAAATATATAATTATATCTCAAATGAACCGAATATGTGCCTTGTATACATATTGAGTCATTATTAAAAGGTTAAATCGTATCCGCGAAATTCAACTTAATACATCTTCTTTTTTGTACTAAAGAATTAAGGTAAACTTATGTTGGAAACGGAAAATCTAAACTTCAAGAGTCAAATCAATTTTAGGTTTTTATCATGACATTCATTAATCAAACGTTATTTTTAATTTTCTAATAAGACTCCCTCGGAGCTGATATACAAATTATAATCTCATTAGCTGCGAAATTAATTACATGTAAGTTGAATGTCAAAGTCGTGTCGCAAACTGATGGAAAAGTCAATGAACTTTATAAAAAAAGTTGTTTGTTAAATAGATTAATTGAATAAGTAGCGCAAGCTAAAAATATTCTGACACATGTCTAGATCACCCTGTATGTTGACATTGACCGTAGAGAGTTAACCATTATAAAATGAACTACGGCTTCTAGTGCTAAGCAAGGAATTGGAAGTGTTAATATTAAAGATATCAGAGTAAGATTTCAACCAATTTATCTTGAGCCGTTTTAGCAATTTCTCATTATAATTTGCTAATAAATTTAATAACATTATAAAATTTCAATTTTATAACGTTGTTATATTTATTAGCAACTTTTTTATTTAGTGACAGTAAAATTTTAACAGTGTATATCAAATTAACGAAGCATCAATCATTAATTATTCCTCTTGTAATCAAAGCCACAATTATTTGACATGATCATTCATTTATTAAACTCATTTTTTTGTCACTTACGACTAATAAGTTTTTAATAAAAAGAAAGCTGGCCATCATCTAATACGTAAAAAAAATATGCACGTACAAGTGACATTGACAATGATTCGAAATTGGAATGCGGCCTTGGAGCGAATTCGGTTCCTCGACGCGAATCGCGCGGGAACCGCAACTCAATTTTTTAAAGTCGATAGTTTATCTGTCAAGGACAAATTGTATTGTATATGGTTACGCCTATGTTTGTGTTAGCTAATACATCATAAAATTTAATAAACATTTAAAACTGGACACAAGCAGAACAGTATACTTACATATCACTAATATTCAAATATTCAAATTAATTAGTGTTTCGTTAATAACGAAATAGGCAAAAAATTGAAAAAAAAAAAATTATTTATTCATGAGATTTAAGGTCATCTTCTTTATAAAAAGTTGTCCACGATGACATTAAAGGTATCAGAAATTCAAATTGACACGTATTTTCGCAGTCAAGAGATAAAATATGTATTCAAATTTGTGGTAATTGCACCCAAATCAATTTCGAAGGTTGATCTTGACAGATTGAAAGTCAAATTCTGTATAAAAATGTAGGATTATTTTCCAAGCGAGTATAAAATACTGAATGCATCTAAATACTTATATAACACTGCTTATATTTAATGCAAATATGGGTAGATTTAATAAAAACAGACAGTTAAACAACTATGAAATTCACTTTCTAAATTTGTAACTTTTATTAAAATTCTACTGTTTAGATATTTTTAAGAAGTGGGTATACCTAATATATTTACTTAAAACATGTCTACGCGTTACATTATATGTAAGTATATATTGTGATTTGCACCAGACATGGGGAAAAATTATCTCAGATGCTCGACACAGGTACACTACATATATGTACCAATCACCAGCCCTTTTACGTCCCCACTGCAGGGGCTCAGGCCTTTCTTATGGATGGTTAAGGAGGATGGGCCATGACCCTCCACGCTGGCCCAATGCGGATTGGAGGGTATTAATGACTGCAAATGCAGCCGGGACCAACGGCTTAACGTGCCTTCCGAAGCACGAAGTAGCTCGAGATAATAATTTTTTTGGTCACCCATCCCGTGACCGACCCTTGCGAAAGTTGCTTAACGTCAACGATCGCGGGCCGCGGCGCTTATCCACTACGCCACCGAGCTACTTATTACCTTCATGGGTATGGGTACATACCTTTACTTAACTTAACTTTGTGAAATAACTAATCTTCTTGCAAAATGCCAATTACAATATTTGGATACACTCACTTAAACATAATATTATTAAAGCACAAAACGTTGTGTATTGCATGGCTCTGTAACTCGACAAATTTGTATAAACACTCAAAAATATATATAATATATAATACCTTGATAAAATAAACGTACTATTTTCTATGGCAAATTTTGACCATGTAATTGTGTGATAGAATTGTAACTTATATTTTAATTTATTTTAAATATTTTTTTACAAACTGATAATAACTGTACGTTTTAATTTGATTCTTTGAGCAGGATCCGGCCATGTTCTTTGGTCTGGGTTTAAAATTAAGGCAAGACATCTCTTTGGTTTTGGAATTAAAAAAAATTACCTAAATCTCCTTCACAGTTTCATAGAAATCATTGTTGCTACTATTACGTTACCTTCTATCCAAAAAATTTCAAAATTAGAACACAAATTTTATGAAGAAAATGTAGAAAGAAAATGTTTTAAACTTTTTCTTTTTTAAAAATTATGATAGACCAGAATCATTTTAACATCATAAATTATTCAGTTCCGCGATATTTTTATGAGAAATTTACGAGCGTAAAAATTGTAGTGATTAATTTCGCGGTAACTTCGCCTTAGCTTGCATAACATAAGGGGAGTTATCACTGACCTTGTAACATTTGGGAACGGGTCATAAGATCAGCATTATCACACACATGCCAAACGTATTTTTTTCTGGCAAAGGCATTTATTTAAACATACTTTTCCGTTTGTAATTATTATTAGGTAGGTGCGTTAAGCGTACACGAGTTATATTTCATTAATATTTTTCATATTGGATGAAACCCAGCATTCTTATCTGAACCCGCGTTTTGGTCTCATGCGGATTGTTAGTGCTGAATTACTTAATGGAAATAGCCAATTCATCGAGCACTGGACCCGCTTGTAGGACCAACTGCGGATTGGTAGTGCCAAAACACCGGTATTTTTAACGGATGAAACCAATCCACTCAGCATTCCCTACTGGGTCCACGTGAAGGTCCCATTGCGAAATGGTGGTGCTAAAGTACAAATATTTTTAATGAATTCTTAATGTACGAACTGTCGTAATGTGGCCTATCGTCCTAAGACACTTCGCCAAAAATAATTTGACCACCCATCAGATAACCGGCCAAACGCGCTAACCATTACACCGTCGAGCTTTTGTTATAGTAATCAGATATTATAAATCATGATGGTCAATTTGGCTTTTTGATTGTTTACTTATTTTTGATTATCATGTGGGCTTAGTATGTGGTTGTTTCAAAGTTAATGACCTTATTTATGGATATATATTATTCCACTCGTCTGTTAATTTTTGTAGTTTTGCACGTTTCCATATCTATGGCAAATTGGATGGTTACATTTCGCGGTATATGTTTGACCTTGACTGTACAAACAACGATAGATTACCAGCTTGTTATAACACAATTCTTTAATCAATTTTAAAACCATAAAAATACATATGATGAAGGTTTATCTTCCATTTCAGTGACTTATGCTTTGGAATAATTTAATATTACTTCGGTAATTTTTAACTATTTTTCCATGTCAATATACAGTTAGCGAAAAATCCATAAATTGTAATTTAAATTGTGCTCAAATGTACTCATACATTTTTTGTCGTTATAGTTTGATAAAGAATAAAGTACACACCAGGTTTTTCGCACCAGGTGGTATTAGTGTTTCTATGTTCCTGTACCAATAGCATAATATTAGCTATTAATATGATGGCACCTGCTTGTTCTATAGTACATTGAACCTTTACCCTTTCATAATATATGCAATATTAAAAGACCAATAAGATTGTAACATCTGTTATATTTATTGTTAGATAATACCTATAAGGATTTTATTATATTTGAAAACTAATCCTGACGTTATAACTCGTTTTATTACTTCTCACTTTTTAACATTTTATAAAGATATAATTGTATAACTAGATTATAATGGCAGTAGACAAGCAACAAATTAACTCATATGTGAATCTTTAAATAATTAAGACTACAGAATCATAACATTAAAATCACTAAACCGTCCAAAATTAAAGCAAAAGATGTATATCTTCCCGGAAAACATCAATACGGCGAGTACTTAATTCATTAACTCCATACACGGGTCGTTATCTATGTAATTGCATAAAAAAAAACCGAACAGACAATAGTTACTGGCCGATACAGCCTCTATGCGTCCCGGGTACGCTTGACCTTGGCTCTTGATCAAGGTGTATCCGTAGTCGTCGCTGTCTTCGAGTTGTTTACTCAACGAAAGTATCATAAACTTTCATCGTGTAAATATAAAGAAATACTTTGTGAAAAAGTTTCATTTTAATTTTGTAGAATATGAGAAAAGAGTTCTTAAGTGTTTGTATCTCAAATTTCACAAATACAAAAAAATAAAATAATACATAAATATATTAAATTTATAATAAGAATCATCTTTGTCATAAGTTATGAATGAAAGTTGAATAAACATGAATAAGTTAATAAAGATTACCTTAGTACATATAAATAAAAATTCTTAGATGATTGAAACATTGAGACAGAAGCAAAAAGATAACATTAAAACATTAAAATAGACGAAATAAGAGGAGATTTAACTATTAAAATAGGCGAAAAATACTCAAGATTTTTATATAGGTGGGCAATAATATTACTCGCTAATTAGACCAAAATGTGTGATAATCATAATCACATAAATTATTCATGAGATTTATTATAATGCGAAGTAATATCTTATACAAACGAAAATAGTCGCAATGATTATCTGAGGCTCATTAAAGTAATCGAATCAGAGAACTCACTGAATATTATAAGACAAATTATTAAAATATCAAGGAAGCGATAAGCGTTCAACTTTGTATTTTTTTTAATAAATATACCTAAGTATTGCTCAAAATAAATTGCTCATTAAGATAATACTCGAGTGTACTTGAACTTGAAAATAAAACAGGCAAAGTCACACGTGTTGTCAAAAGTCAATGATTATGAAATGTCAAAAATGATTTTGTTATACTTATATAAAGAGTTCGATAGTCGACAATCAGTGCGGGAATAATAGATTCCAATACGATAATAAATACGTGTAGCCGGTTGAAGAAACTGCAGTCAATAAATATAATAAAGAAATCAATAAATTGGCCGTTCGTCGTAATAATATTGGACGCGTCAAAACACAAGAAATATAATTTAAGAATCATCAAGAGATTAATAGTGTTGTACGCGGAACAAAATGTTCGCATCGTGATTCTGTAATGATCGCTAACAATAAGCCTAAAACGTCGAATATTACCGACAATAATGAGTCAAAACCATTTGAAGACTTCCGAAGTGTACAAGGTGGTTTGAGTGATTAATTTACTTTAATTATAGCGAAATTGTGCTAACCTTTTCCTCCTGTACTCCTTGTCCGCCATTCTCGGATAGTGGTGTTGACGGTGCGCTGTAACCCTTACCACCTTCGTCTTGTGGAGTCATTTGTCTCTGAATATCGTTCTCTTGATCGTTATTTATTCTTATATCGTGGAGTCCGGATTTAAATTCAGACAGTCTTAATAGAGGTGGTTTGATTTCTGGTATTTCATCTGGATGCTCGTACCTTCTCAGATCTGTTATGTTCGCTGTTAAATGTCTATGGTGGTCTATAGGAGGCGGTACACCAATAGATCTAAGGTGTTCTATACTTCTGTGTATATGAGAGTAATTGTCTACAGGTATCTCGGCCATCAAAGGAGAATTGTGATAGTCTAGACCGCCACCGTCCGGTCTATAATCGATTGTCCTGCCTTCCATCATCTTGATTGTTTTTATAAATTTCTATCTAAATATATAAACTTATATATTTGGTGCTATCTTATAAAAATATACGGCTCGTTTGTATACAGTTGCTTGTTTGATTTTGTCTTGTGTGTCATGGAATTATTCGAGATCCTCCGTTTCGTTTGTGCTGCAATGTAATGAAATGTTCTAATAAATATTTGTAAATGTTTAAATTTGGAATATTCCAAAATGTTGTCTAATATGTTTGTTTTATTTTTAAATCGTAAAGTATCTAGTTGTAACCAATGAGGTCGTATAGGCGTTTGTCTATTAAAAACTAGATTTGACGAGTAAAAAAGTTGGCTGTTTTTTTGTTACGAGCAGGTGACGAGACCCGCGTAGGCTGTGTCAACGATCTAGAGGCTAGCCCACATGCCGTAACGAATAAGGTCTCGATAATCATATTGATGTACACTCGCAATGAACGATGAGTTACGGTTGTTTTTTATGTTTTCAATCTATAATATTAAAAGTGTTATAAAGGAAACTAATATCAACACTTTTTTTTTATTTCGAAAAGAATATTATCTCTATTTTTTTTTACCAAAACACTTTTGTGTTGACTCATACTTAACCAAAGCAGTTCACTGTCAAAAGATAATTGCGTGTATAGAAAATGATACCAAATAGTTTTGCAGTTGTATTCGCGTCATGTAGATTTGATATCGACCTTAACAGTGAAGATATAAAGGCTACTTAAATTAAGTTTTGTGTTTGCAAATGTCATCCGGATGTAATTTAGTGATGTGATGTATACAGGGCCTCAATCGACTTTAAGATTTGAATCATACTACAGTGCTAGGGAAGTTGATAATAGGATTAGGTAATTAGCTTTTTGTTCATAATATTAATGTGTTAACTCAGTATACTATATAAGGTACATATACTAGGAATGACATACGATTTATTAGATTATTAAAAACGATTCTAATAAATCAACGACGATCATAGTCAACGTAAGGTATAGTTCCGAATAAATAAAATTAAATTTAAACGATAAATACCTATTTAATTTCGTTGATTTATTTATTTGTACTATACAAAATAAATTATATATATGAGATACTTTTTTAAAGTTTTGTTTTTTTTCTGTGTATCTTACTTAAAACGACGTTGGTTCGTTCTTTATATTATTATTGCTAAGCTAAAATGTGCGTTTACTAAGTAGTTTGGAGATTTCGCAGTTACTGAAGCGTGCAATACAAGGTTGTTTGACAAGAAGTACCTACTTTGATATTGGATAAGTTTCCAATACTTAAGTTGTGCAAAAAAATTTTAGACAAAAAATAATTAAGAAGGAGGCCACTGTATATATAAGATATGATTCCGTTAGGGATTTTTTTCTTGTAACCATAGCTGTTTGAATGAAGTACTGAACTGATAAGTGTGAGATTGTGGAATTTTTGGGAGCCATAAGACAACATTTTGGATTTATTTATCACAATAAAAAAATATATAATCAATGTCGGTGGTGAACAACCTGTTGCATGGACTACCATATGTTAAATATATAATATTATCAAATTTAAATTAATATAAAAAAAACTCATGTGAAATAAAAATATTTCCGTGTTTTTAGGTAAATATATTCAAGGTCAGCTCTGATAGACAGCCGTCAAGCCGACTCAGCATTACAACATCCACCTCTTAGAGGGGGGGCAGTTACGTAAAAATGTCTAACCCTCCTTTTAGGGAGAGAACTCCGCCTAACACCCCACAGGGAATCTGCCACCGACATTAATTAAAGTAAATAAATGAAAAAAAAAATACCTGTCACTATCCAAAAGTCTTCAAGATCGTCAACTATATCACCATAAAAAATCACAGTTTGTTCCTAACTAATAGTCACTAAAAATATCACATCATAAGGTAACACTAATGTCACAACACGTCCAAAAGGCAACAGTCCAAGGCTGGATAGCCGAAATTAAAAAAATCCACGTGTGTCCTGCGAATAAACATTTAAAAAAAAGTTCGAAAGAAAAAAACGCAGAGCCGTCTTCCTGACCCCGCGTTAAAATTATGAATGCGCAGCGGCGTTACTAGGATCAAAAATTACCAGATTTTTTTCGTGCCCAATATTTTAGTGTGCTATATAATTATGTTTGTGGGTACCACACGTGATGCAGCCGTCTCTCTCGCACGCGATTTGCGCGTGCAGCGGCTTGCAGTAGGCTTCAAGACATGTGCTTAGAAAAGCCGGGCGCAGCGTACAAGCGAACACCGGCCGATCGCGTCAACATAAAATGCAATACAAAACGACCGCTCGTCCGCCTTAAGACCGGCGCGGCAAAAACGAGACTGAAATTCAGATCTATAGTAGAAAAAGTGAACTACACCGAGCGAGGGTTACACTAACACATAAAAATGAAAAAAATCACACAGACGACAACATCGATGCGGGAGCTTAAAAAATCGGAGTGGGGATAGGCTGCACCGCTCGCTTTCCATAGCGGCATCTCGCTTGCACGGCATGAGGCCGCGCGCACACAACGACGCGGTGGTTAAGCGAAAAAAATGTGTACACATTTTTTTATTATTCACGATTTTTATGTGTGTAAGTGGGCTCGATGCGAGCGAGACGGATGGCGGCGGGCGCTATTCGTCCAAGCTGCGGAAGCGGGATGGGACACAGTCGCCACGTGCTCGTCCCTTGGTATTAAATAATAATTAAAATGGCTACAAGACCGGCGATACGAGATACTGTTCGGTAGACGATTTTTTGGCGAAGCTTTTGCCTTTTTTGTAGAGCTTTTTGCGGGAATTGTCGAAAACGAGGTAACGCGTGTTTGTGCTGTGTTGCCTTAATAAAAAGCCACGGACCGATTGACACATTATAAACGAAATGCGCGCAGAAAAAGTCGCGCCGGGGGAAAAAAACCAAGGACGCCAGGCGCGAAAAGAAGTTATTGATTAAAACCAGGGCTGTCATTGACCAGACGTAAATGAGGGTGCTTAATTGTATGCAGGAGCTCTGGGGATCGATTGCTTCCCCAAAAGAAAAGAATTAGAATTTGGAAACGTTAAATGTCGCTACAAACCTTTGAAGAACTCGAAAGGCAAATCACGGAAAAGGCTGTCATTTTAAATGTGCCCGAGGACCTATTTCAGATAATGAACTTCATAAATAGAACAACTTAAGACTATGTTTTGAGAAAAAATTAGAGCACACCCATTGCTTTTGCATTAATAATTCAGTGTGCAGTTATTTTAAAGATATTAAAATTAAAAACCAAAATAAAATGGAAGGAACCTATTAATTATAAATTCACTATATAAAAAACAACAATGACAATAAAAAACTCCCTGTTCAAAACGAAAACGAGAGTTAATAATAAATACAAAAAATGTAGAGAATAATAGATAAAACAGTAGGCTATTTAAAGAGAAAAAAGGTGTTTTTGTACTTTGTTACATTATGAAAAAGCTTAATTACTTCCCAAAATACGAGCAGCAAAGATCTCGCTCAACACGATTTACGTTTAAAAGATTTTATGGTACTGTTCGAATTGTGCCATTATTCTAAGCTTATGCCATAAAAGGACACCGTCGGTATCCTTTTGAAGTTCAACTTCTATTTAGGCCAAGGTTACACTGACGTAGGCGGTGGGGTCGTAAGTGTATATTATCATTTGTCTATTTTTCTTTCGTGTTTCCTCAAGTTTTAGGGAAAACATACTGGTTTCGAAATAAATACCTATGTAAACGTTTTTCTACTTGATCGTATATATGAAAAAATCTTGTGTCACGCCACAATGTAGGTCATTGATAGACTCCAAGAACTGATTATGATCAAATTTCAAACGTATCTTTAATTTACTTTAACTTAAAAGATAGTATAGTTTTCCATAGGCTGGATCTGCCCTAATTAAAGAATAATTTATTGTATTGGATTAATTTTGCATTTACAATGCTATACTGAAAAATAGTTAAAAAAAAATTTGTCCCTGGTACTCTGAGACGGGACCCGAACTCATGAGCTTTCGCAATCCGGGCAACTGCTCCAACCCCCAGTACCTAATAGGACTGACGAATTTTTCAAGCACTTGTTACTTTTTCGCTGCTATAGAGAGCATTTTCATTAACGTTCAGGCAATTCACTTAAACAGCCAAAATAAATATTTTTACAAATATTTAAACTTTCTATTATAAATTTTAGGTTTATTTAAACGCCAAAAACTTCTTATTACTATTAACAGTTCATAGTAAGGTAAAAGTTTAGAATGTAAAATAAATATCTTAGTCTGTCATTTGGTGATAGACTTATATCTGTCGTCCTAATGCAATGTATGATATGCGTGATAATGAAGTCCAAATGTAATCCACCAGCAGCATTATTGAAAAACAACTGACTGCGTAATTCGTATAAATTCTTGCTTATGTGAAAAGAGGAAAAGTGTTATTATTACTATTTTTCCTCCCAATATTCAATATTTTTTTATTCCACAATAACCTTCCTCGGATTTCAACGATAATTTAAAAAAACAGACAGGAGCGAGTTGAACCGTACTGATATTTAATAAAAAATCGACACAAGGCTCAAATGTATATATGTGCAATTGTATAGATTTCACGTTTTCGTTGTACTATAAAACGATGTTACTTGCCAAATTTCATGGTTTAGGTCGACGTGAAGTATCCTATCTTTTTTTATTACGCTGAAAGAGTTGTGATATGCGTTTTTTGCGGTATCTTTTTTATGTTAATTTGGAAGTTTCAATTTTGCAAAGCTTCAAAGCTTTGTAGACTAGAGTATATGCTTTTAAGCGCTTTCAACTCGATTCCGAAATAAAGTCCATTGACAGACAGACGAATAATAAAGTGATCCTTTAAGGGTTCCGTTTTTTCTTTAAGAGGTACAGAACCCTGAAAATAGCAACAAATTGTTTATTTTTATTTGCAAAGACAAAAATATACGAATTAGAAATTATGTCAAGTCATAATTGATATCAGTTTCAATTATTAGTGAAATTGTA